TTGGAAGTCCAGACCTACAAATGACTTCATTGGTTTCATTTTTCTGTTTCTTGAATTCAGTTAAGATTTGTTCCCCTCACCAACAGTGTTGAAAAAGTTGAACAGTACTGGAGGTCTTACTGGGGAAGAGAACATTTTTTTCCTCTACCACTTCATTCCCCAGTCCCGATCCCAGGAGAGCACTTTTAATTCTCAGAGCTCTTTTCTCTGGCATTTCATTTTATATTTCTGCGTAATACATTTATTTACTTATTTAAGTTTTTTTTTTTTTTTAATTTAACAGAGATAGCGTAAGTAGACAGAGTGGCAGACAGAGGGAGAGGGAGAAGCAGGCTCTCTGCCGAGCAGGGAGCCCGATGCGGGGCTCAATCCCAGGACCCTGGGATCATGACCTGAGCCGAAGGCAGCCGCTTAAACAACTGAGCCACCCAGGCGCCCCTATTTACTTATTTTTAAAGATTTATTTATTTTCGAGAGAGAAAACGCACACATGCATGGTTGGGGGGTGCGGAGCTGGCAGTGCAGAGGGAGAGGGGGAGAGAGAGTCTCAAGCAGACTCCCTGCTGAGCACAGAGCCCAACACAGGGCTCGATCCCATGAACGCTGAGATCATGACCTGAGCCAGAATTAAGAGTCGGATGCTTAACCATCTGAGCCTCCCAGGTGCCCCTCTGCATAATACATTTATTATTTTATTTCTTTATATATTAACTTTAGGCATTGTCTGTTGACTTCCTATTGTTATCACTAAAGGTTTCGCTTTCATACCACTCTTCTCTCCCCTTCATATTCTCCTTGTATACCATTGCTTTTAACTGAATTAATAAATAGTGTTTCTGTTATCACAACTTTGTAAGCTCAGTTCATTTTTGCAGAGTCAGATCAGGCACTATGATTTTAATTCCTTTCCTCTTCAACTTCACTTTATCCTTACGTTTCTGGCTGCCTCTTTATTCCCTTTCATTCTTTTTTTTTTTTTTAAAGATTTTATTTTATTTTGACAGAGCAAGAGAGCGAGAGAGGGAACACAAGTGAGGGGGTGGGAGAGGGAGAAGCAGGCTTCCCGCGGAGCAGGGAGCCCGATGCGGGGCTCGATCCCAGGACCCCGGGATCATGACCTGAGCCGAAGGCAGACGCCCCTATTCCCTCTCATTCTTGCTACCATCCATAGGCCTTCATTTTTTTCCAAAACGGGAGTAAGAGGTTCTGAGTGCCTTTACCCCTTTCCCCAGCGACTTTCCTTCTGAAACTCTCTCCTCTTCTCTGAACGGGACCAGCATAGCTCCTGGAATTGTTTGCTGGATCTGAGATTTAAACTCTTGCCTCTGTTAGTTGTCCTTTTAGACAAGTCACAGGGGTTAGATGATGCCTCAGGAGCCCTCCTGAGAGCCGGTCTCAGCCCTTCTGGTTGTGCGATCTGGTCGGGCTTATTTATTCTGTTGCCAGCTGCCCATCTTCTGGCCTCGTAGGGTTGTACTGAGGTTGAAGTGAGGTTATATAAATGGAAAAGCTTTGGAAGAAGTGTGAATGTAAAAGGGTGACAGTAGCTTCTCCACAGTGTTGTTTTTTTTTTTATGTTGTTAGCTACGTTGTATATCGAAGGCCTTTGATATTATCCTCACCTCTTTTTATATTTATTGATACGTTCAACCAGATATTCTCTTTCTCCAGAAAAAAATGAGTGACAGAGAGTGGGGGAAGGGGTAAGGGCAGCCCTCCAAGATGAAGTGGTACAGACTGATGCAGTGGGGGAAATATTTTAGGATGAGATTTAAGAGCATTTCTTCCCATATATTTATTTCATTTCACTTCACAGATAATTGTGACATATCTCCTCTGTGCAGGGCATTGTGTGAGAAGTGCTTCCTTATGTCTAAATAGAATGTGAGATCATGTGCAAAAGCAACATAAATGAAATTTCCCATTGATGCTGTTTGTTATGTTGTCTTATTTATAATCCAAAATCAGTTGTTTATTTGAAATAATAAGAATCCATTGGCCCTATATTACACTGTGGATGGATGGCGTAGAGACTAGGGACCCCATCTTATTCACATGAGGCCTGTATCAGTTTGGGATTCTTTGCAAGTGACAGAAATCCAATTCAAACATGCCTAAGTGAAAAAGAGAGACTGTATTGTTTATGGAACTGAGAAGTTCAGGAGTAGGTCTTACTGATCCAGGAGCACAAACTGTGTTATTTTTTTTTCCCTTTAAATTTTTATTGTTATGTTAATTACCATACATTACATCATTAGTTTTTGCAAACTGTGTTATTATTAGGACCCAGTCCCTCTTGCCATTTCTTGGCTCTGTCTCTCTCCGTGTTAGTGTTGGTTACTTCCAGGTGCACTTTTCATGTGGTGGCCCTTGCACCTCACAGCTTAAGAAGAGATCCCAGGATTAATTTTGATTGCATTGATGGGCAGGCTTTTGCACCTCCGAACCAATTACTTTGATCAGGTGGATTTGAGGCTCTGGCTGGCCATACCCCAGATCTGGAGTAGAGTCAGCTTCACTAGAAACATTTAAATGGAAAATGGTCAAAAGGTACAAACTTCAGTTATAGTAGGTACCAGGGATATAGCATACAACACGATGATTGTAGTTAACATTTCTATAGGATTTCCCAAGGCAGTTGTCAAGAGAGTAAATCCTGAGAGTATTCATCACTAGAATAATTTTTCCCCCTTTATTCTTTTCTTCTTTCTTTTCTTTTTACTGTGTCTGTATGAGAAAATGGATGTTAGCTGAACCTGTTATTATTATTTCACGATATGTGTAGATCAAACCAGCATGATGTATGCCTTAAACTTATACAGTGATGTCAGTAAAACTGGAAACAAAACCAAAGTAATAAATGATACTATTATTTGATAAAGACAATTGACATTCGCTCTGTCTTAGGTATATGTAATCACTAGCAGCTGTAGGAAAGTGCTAATGGTATTATTCTGTAATATTATTATTTTGTAAAAAACAAAACAAAACAAAACAAATGAAAGTGGGAGAATGGGAGGCAGGTCCATGGTCCCTCGGAGAACAATCAGACTTCTGTCAGAAGAAGGGCAGTGGGGTGTGGTTGCAAAACAACACGTCTACCACCAGACCCCACAGCACCCAGCAGGTGGCTCTTCACCAGGCAGGGGCTCAGCAGTGCCTTCTGCATTGAGTCAGTGGTGTTGGCAGGAGCCTAGAAGTCTTTTTTTTTTTTTTTAAAGAATTTATTTATTTATTTGAGAGGGAGAGAATGAGAGATAGAGAGCATGAGATGGAAGAGGGTCAAGCAGGGAGCCCGATGCGGGACTCGATCCCGGGACTCCAGGATCATGACCTGAGCCGAAGGCAGTCGCTTAACCAACTGAGCCACCCAGGCGCCCGTGGAGCCTAGAAGTCTTTATTATGGTTGCCAAAGTAGGTTTCCTATTTCTTTCTTTCTCTTATCTGAATCGGGACCTCCCCCCAGTTTTACAAATTTGTGTTTAATTTAATGTACTAACCTTGAAAAACTCGAATTCCTCTGTAAGGGCTAAAGACTCACATGCCACCTTTAAGTTTTCCAAAGCTTTTACTAACTGGGTTTGCTGTATCGCCAAATTCTGCTTTATTATTTGTTTCAGGAAATAACAAGTTCTATTCTGTGGGGTCAAAATTTTTTAAGTTGTGGTTTTATTTTTAGACTAGTAAACATTATAGCAGTTTCTATCTAAAAGCAGTCTTTGAATATACACCAAAATGTTGACAGTGTTTAACAGAGTGTAATAGGCAGTTTTTTTCTTCTTACTTGTTTTCCACCCTTTCCACCACGAACATGCTATTTATATGGCTGAAAAACAATGCTATTTAAAGCAGTCATTAATTGGGGCGCCTGGGTGGCTCAGTCGGTTAAGCGTCTGCCTTCAGCCCAGGTCATGATTTCAGGGTCCTGGGATCAAGCCCCGCTTCGGGCTCTGTGCTCAGCAGGGTGCCTGCTTCTCCCTCTCCCTCTGCTTGCTGTTCCCCCTGCTTCTCTCTCTGTCAAATAAATAATAAAAACCTTGAAAGAAAACAGTCATGAATTTACTACATTTAAAAAAAATTTACTACATTTTTTGAGTGCCTACCATGTCCTGTGCTAATTTCTAGAAACAGTGAGACAAGACAGGAAAGGTCACAGCCTCATAGAATTTGTACATCCGAGGGTGAGAAAGATAATAAACTGTTTTACAAGTAACTAAATAGAATAATACAGATCTTAATTAGTTCTACAAAGGGAAAGGTGTGATAGGGAATAACAGGAGAAACCTAATTTAGGTTGGCTGATTGGGAAAGGCCCTTGTGATAAGGGGAGAACCACACAAAGAGCCAGAAAGATCATCCCAGACCTAGTAAGTGCAAAGGCCCTGGGGCAGTAAAGAGCATGATTTATTCTCGGCAGCTGGCAGAAGCTCTCTGGGCTGCACTTTCCTCCCCTGTGAAATGAGTTCGATTGATGGTTTTTCAGATACCTTTCTGTCGCCGACATTTTATGATTCTAGTCCGGGCCAGGAGGAGGTGAGGCAGGTGATTGCCTAAAGCACAAAATCTAAGGAGGCTCTCGCCGTGCTCTTGCACAACCCTGAGAGTGAGAGTCTCCCTCAGTTTTGCAGCCCAGGCTTAGCTCCTACCCCCGACCCCCTCCCACCCCCAGTGCCGTCCCAGTCCTGATTCGAACTCATTTCACTGTTTCCATGGAACAGTGACTTTGCTGATGTATAATCTGAGCTCCGTCGCTGATGCTTATTGATGCGTTATCTAAACAAGCCAGGGCTTGCAGTGTCTTCTGAGTCACATATTCTGCCCTTATGCTTGACTTATTTTTCGTATCTATATTCTCCATGCATGAGTTAATTCATTGTGTAGGCAGGCAGTTCGGAAGGCGAGCTTACATATATCCCCATTGAGCCAGGTGAATTCTTTCTCTGGTCTGCAACAGGAAGCCTGCTACCCATGTGGACATCTTTGATGTTGTTCTCCTTTAGATCAGTCCAGAGTGTTTGTGAAGGTATTTACTGAAATCGACCGGATGCCCCAGCTGCTCACCTACTACTACAAATGCCACAAGGTGAGGAGCTGGGGGTGCTTAAGGGTTGTGGAATGCTCCCAGGCCGGCCTGCAGAGCTCCAATTGTGTGCTCCGAGGGGGAAACACCTGCCTCCTTGCCCTCTGGCCTTTTTCTTCTTATTCACCAGTAGGGGGCGTTCTTGGTCCAACCTGTGGATTCATTTGCTTGCCACTTGGAAAACACAAGCCCTTGTTTTCAGCCTCTTGTAGGTTGATAGCTGGATTCCACTTACACACTGACCAGTTGTTTCAATTTCTCCCATTTTTGTCTTTCAAGGGAGAGTCATGTCTCTTAGGCCTTACTATGCCCTCAGCAAGCCTGAAGAATTTTTTGTTTTCTAGAGCTGTTGACAGGTGAAAACCTGACTGAATTCCTCCAGGCCCAGCACTCGTGTGCTTTAAGCAGCGGCATTGGGCCATGGAGCTCAAGTGCACATGCACTCACCTCTTAAGGTCTTTTCCGAAGACTGTAGCATGCCGGGTGGAAGGACCTTTGCAGGCTTTGGGGCGAGGTGAAAGGAGAAGTGAGCACCTGGAGGACAACGGATTCACATTCTAATTGATCAGAGCAGGCAAAGGCAAAGTCTTGTTTCCCCGCCTTTGTTTGAATCAAATCGTCATGGGGGCACCTGATCGCCCCGGGGAGCAGGCAGCGGGACATGGCTTGCCTCGCTGGGGTGGCAGGGCAGCTTTAACGGGCGGCATGTCGTGTTTCCTCAGCGAGGTCCCTTCTGTCTCTGCAGGCGCAGCTCTTAGCAGCCTGGCAAGAACTGTGCCAGAGTGACCTCCCCCTGGACCGGCAGCTCACTGGGTTCTATGACGCCTTGCTCGGGGCTTGGCACACGCAAATCCAGTGGGCGACGCAGGTAACAGCTTGCTTGGGTCCTGGGGAATGGGCGACTGCCCTGGGAGTGGTGTCTCCCCTGCTTCAGGCACTGCTTGAAACATCTCCCTATTTGCTGCCCTCACCAAAGGAGTTAGATAAGCCTCGAAACCCAAGGCAGTAAAATCTTTAGGTCTCCTTAAAACGTTTCTTATCGTGCTTCTCTGTATCTTAAATAGAATCTAATGTGGCAGTGTTGCATGTTGTTCAGCCAGGGAGCCTGTGGAATTCCTGAAGGCCATTATCTCCTCTCCTGATCTAGAAGCAAGAGGCCCTTGGTCAGGTGGTGTTTGACCAAACAGGATTGTTTTTATCTTAACTTCAGGTGAAATGTACCTGGCCTAGAGTTAGTTTCCCTTGTTCACACACTACACCCAATGTTCGAGGAAGAGTGCAGTTTGAAAGGTGCCCTCTGACTTAGGGGATGATGAGACAGAGGAACTTCATTTCCAGTGGACACTTGCCATCACTTATTTTCCCAAAGCCTCTCGGCATGGCATTTTCCGCCATCTGGGGTATGAACCGCTGTTCCCGTGTCTTGATGCCAGGAGGTGTCCCAGATCCTCTCTCCTTCTTTGAGGACAGAAGAGGCTGTGACTTACTGGGCCTGTTGATGGTGTGGCTTGGTTTTTTGTCTGTTTGCTTTCAGAATGAGTTGCGAGTTCCTCTTGCAGTGTGCATCTGTCCCCCTTTGGAATGAGCTCGACTGTAGCTGGGGAGAATGCATGGTACAGGGTCGCGTCCCTCCCGGTGGTTAAAGCGCTCTGCTCCACCCTCATTGCTTTCCCCCCCGGAGCCAGACGAACTCAGAGTTATATCACAACAACACAAAACCCAACCTCCTGTAGATGTTCCACGGCGTTTATGTATTCGTCACTTCTCAGTGACTCTGTCGATGCCCATTCGTTTCTGTGTCCTTGCCTTTTCTGCTGTCTCGTGTCGTGAGGATAAAACCAGTTCATGTCCACGTGTGCAAATGCCCTTCTTCATCTCAGAAAAAGGATTTAGACTTCTCAGACTTCTGTTGGGGCCTCATTCTAAATTTTGTAAGGTGTGAATTTGTGCTGATGTATACTTCCAGTCCACGGCCCATTTTCTTTTCAGGCGGTAAGCATGACAGGAGGCCATCATCTTCTGAAGCTCCATATAGTGTGAAAGAAAACCAGAGACACCATAGTAAATGTGTCCCCTTCTGATTTACCCCCCAGTATTTTAATATGAAAAATTTCCAACATATAAAAGAGTTGAAAGAGGGCGCCTGGGTGGCTCAGTCATTAAGCGTCTGCCTTCGGCTCTGGTCATGATCCCAGGGTCCTGGGATCGAGTCCCGCATCGGGCTCCCTGCTCCGCGGGGAGTCTGCTTCTCCCTCTCCCACTCCCCCTGCTTGTATTCCTGCTCTCGCTCTCTCTCTTTCTCTGTCAAATAAATAAAAAAATCTTTAAAAAAAAAAAAGTTGAAAGAATTGTATGGTGAATGCCCATGTACCCACTTCGTGCACTCTGCAATGAATATTTTGCTATGTTTCCTTTATCATAAATCTGTCCGTCTTCCCATGTATCTGTCCATTCCTTGGTCTTATTTTTTGATTCATTTCAAAAGAAGTTGCAAACATCATTTACTTCTAAACATGCGTATTAGTAACTAGAGTTCAATATTTATTTCCCTTATTTTTTTGAGGTAAAATTGTGAAATGCAATGATCTTAAGTATGCCCGTTGATTAATTTGGACAAAGTCTGTGTAGCCTAATTTCTTTTAAGATACAGAGAACATTACCATCACTCTGGAAAGTTCTCTTATGCTCCCTACTACCAACACCCCTGAAGGCAACCACTGTTCTGATTTTTTTCTCACCATAAATTAGTTTAGCCTGTTTTTGAATTTTCTATAGATGGAATTATATAGTGTGTGTTCTTTCTGTAAGGCTTCTTTGATTCAGCGTGTTTGTGAGATGTATTCATGTTGTGTGAATCAGTACTTTGTTCCTTTTTATTGCTAAATACTGTTACATGGCACAAATAGACCACAGATTGTGTATTCATTCTTATATTGAGGGACACTTGGGGTATTTCCAGTTTGGGGTTATTATGAATAAAGCTGCTAATGAACATTGTTCTCTAAGTCTTTTTGTGGACTCATGTGTTCATATCTCTTGGGTAAATACCTAGGAGTGGAATTGCTGGGTCATCGGGCAGGTGTATGTTTAGATTTATAAGAAACTGCCAGACATTTTTCCAAAGTGGTTGTACTTTTTATACTCGCACAACGAGGGTGCAAGAGTCCTGATTGCCCCACATCTTTGCCAACGTTAGGTGCGGTCAGTCTTTTTTTTTTTTTTTTTTTTTTAAAGATTTTATTTATTTATTTGACAGAGAGAGACACAGCGAGAGAGGGAACCCAAGCAGGGGGAGTGGGAGAGGGAGAAG